TCTATTTGATACATTGGGAAACTGAAGAATAGTCTTAAATCCTATAGAATGTGGTCCTTGTGATGTCTTCTTGGAGAAAATATAATTTATTATTCTAAATTATAAATAAATTAATAAAGTAGAGTTTTAAAAAAAAAAATTATTTAGACATGCATGAATTGAGATATGATAAGTTGAATTCACATACATATTATTGTGTTAATTTTGCCTTTTGGAAGAAATCAGAAATATTAGGATTGAATTGTAGAAGAATAAATTGAAAAGGAGAAAGTTGAAGTCAAGGACCAAGATGAATAATAAAAAACGTGTAGAGATCAAAGTGCAGAAAAAGTAAAAGTTGAGAAACCAGCAAAGTTTTACCCCATGAAAAAACAAAATTGCTTCTTAGTCCAAAATCCAGACACGGACAGTTTTTTCCTAAATTAAGGGAACGTGCCGACACATTGTACTAAGGTGTCGAGACAGCCTATATTCACACAAAATTCCAGTTATTTTCGCATGAATCCCACTTCTCTTCTAAAGTATCATCTTTAAGTCCTATAAATGTGTATTTATTTTAATCTATTGATTCGTAAGTGTTCATATGAATTTTAATTTCTTAAATATTTTTATTAAATCTAAAAAATATATAAATAAACCTAAATCTTGTCAATTAATTTTTATTGTCAAATATTAAAAAAAGTTAACAACCTTATACTTTAATTTTTTTCACAAAAACTTAGGGGTCAGTGCCCTCTGTCTCATCTCCCTCTCGGCACAATTTTTAACTCTTCAAGTAATGAAAAGTGGGAATTTTTTTTTTCTTTTTTTCTTTTTTTTTAAATCCCTCTTTCTTTGGTTGTGTCCAAGGGCATTTTTTATATCTAAATCCAAAGTAGAAAATACAGAGAAAAATGAGCAAAGGAAAACGAGATTAGATAGGAATCCAAGGCTGAGAAGCTTTTCCAAAAAAGAAACACAAAGGGCAGGAGAACGGAATGAGGCATTGAAGGCTTGAGCTATCCCACATTAATGGAAAATTATGAATGAGTCTAGCATATTAATATAAAAATTAACTCCTACTATCAATTTGAGTTTTCATTTTTGAAGGTCCATAAATTTTGATTGAAAAAATATTAAGTCAATAATTAATAATGTGAGATTCACATTACTACCAATTGTGATAATCGGTATGTATTTATAATTGTGATTTCGTTGATACTAATTAAAACAATCTAGATACTAATTAATATTAGAAGAAAATGAATTTTTTGTGACTAAAAATAGTAATTGATTTTTAGTTTGTCATTAATATTTTTTACATTTATGACTAATTCAAGATATTGGTCTCTCATATTGATTTTCAAAATTGAAATATACAATTTTAACACAAAACTTATATTTGATTACAAAAAATTTGGCATAATAAATAATATAAATTTGTTACAATCAAAATCATCACAGTAAAATAACTAAGTAGTGATGAGTAAAATAGTAATTACAAATGACTGATTTTTGTTACAGATGCTAAATTTTACTTTGACTAAATTATTTCATTCCTAACAATTATAATTTGTGGTAGTATATGATTTATTATGAAAGAAATCATAAAAAAAAAAAAAAAGAAATTGTTTTGTCACAATTAATCTGCAATTGAACTTGAGAAATAAACAATTACAATATAGCAAGCGGTACAAGATAGCATTCCAACGAGGCTTAATCCTGCTAAAAGAGGTATTATAGATGATGCGGAATTAGCTCTTTGTGATGCTCCTGAGTCCTGGCGAAGGATTGGTAGACACAAATCATGTACTTGTACACCGCAGGATGACTTGTAATGTTTGGTTAAATGCTAGAAATGGTGGGGCACTTACAATGCTTTGCCGAGATCATGTTGGGAGGTTTTTGTGCAACACTCAAGTGTACTAAATGACAATAAAAGAGAGGCATGGGAATATGTTGTGGGCTGCAGTGGTATGGTTCCTGTGGCTGATAAGGAATATGAAAGGCTTTTTAATGACAAAGCCATTGAGGAAGGAAAGGCAGTAGAGCTCATTTAAGCAAGAGCAATGCACATTGGATCAAAGCAATGAGCAAGGTCTGTAATTTCAGTGTCTGATTGGATTTTAGAGCCTATGGAATGTTTACATATAATATGGTAAGTTTCTTCTATTTTTTATTAATAAGATTTTTTATTCTTCTATTAATATATGAGTGAAATCGTGAAATGAAAAAATCTTACGTTGTTCAAAAATAAAAAATAAAGTTTTTCAGCACTATATATAAAAAAATACTTAATCCTGCATCACTTAGAAACAAAAAGTATAACTTATTAGTGTTTTATATAAACAAAAACCTAAAATATATTGGACACATTTTTATATCCTGAAGTGTTGGGTTTAAGCCAAATAATTTTATTGTTGGCCTTTAAATATTTAAATTAGTAAATAGTTACCATAATTATATTTGAATTAAAAAAATATATATTTAAAATAAAATATACAAATATGTTCTAAAATAATAACAGTAGTTTTATATTAAATTA